TCTATTAACATTTCTACATCTGGAGAATGGGGCTGTTCTATGTCTTCTCCATTCAGAGGGGCCCCTGCCTGTCTTTGCCTAGGGCCCCACATTTCCTGCTCAGGCTGATTCTTTATTCCACTAAAGGTTTAAATTTGAAGCAAACAAACTGGATTTGGAAGAAATGAATGGAAATAAAAGATGTTTTTATTTCTATTATGATGTAATTCCAGACAATCAACTGGCGGCCATGTTGTTAGTTGACTTGGTGGATCATTCAAACATCTGACTGGCTGTTCTTCTCCTCCAGGTCCTGGCCATGGTCTCCATCCTGTTCATCATCATCTCCACCATCTCATTGTCCCTCAACACTCTGCCAGAGCTTCAGGTAGTGGATGAGTTTGGTCAGTTCAATGACAACCCCAGCCTGGCCCACGTGGAAGCCGTGTGCATCGCCTGGTTCACCATGGAGTACCTGCTCCGCCTGTTGTCAGCGCCTAACAAGTGGAACTTCATCAAAGCACCGCTGAACATCATAGACCTGCTGGCTATACTGCCTTATTACGTGACGCTCTGCCTGACTGAGTCTAACAAGAGCGTGATGCAGTTCCAGAACGTGCGCCGCGTTGTCCAGATTTTCCGTATCATGAGGATCCTGAGGATCCTGAAGCTGGCGAGGCATTCCACAGGACTCCAATCCCTGGGCTTCACTCTGCGGAGAAGCTACAACGAGCTGGGGCTGCTGATCCTCTTCCTGGCTATGGGGATCATGATCTTCTCTAGCTTGGTGTTCTTTGCAGAGAAGGACGAGGACTCCACTAAGTTCACCAGCATCCCTGCCTCCTTCTGGTGGGCCACTATTACCATGACGACAGTCGGATACGGCGACATCTATCCACAGACGCTGCTGGGCAAAATCGTGGGAGGTCTTTGCTGCATTGCAGGCGTGCTGGTCATTGCTCTCCCCATCCCAATCATCGTCAACAACTTCTCTGAATTCTACCGAGAACAGAAGAGGCAAGAGAAGGCCATCAAGAGACGGGAGGCTCTAGAACGAGCCAAGAGAAGCGGAAGCATCGTCTCCATTAACCTGAAGGACGCCTTTGCTCGCAGTATGGAACTCACAGATGTCCTGGTGGAGAAGAAAGAGGAGAACAAATGTCCGGCGGACAACCACCTGTCCCCGAGTCGCTGGAGCTACCACAAACACTACTCCAACACGGAGGTCTGCAGCCCAGCCAGGACGCAGCGGTACGAGGAGGTCCCACAGTGGAGCTCCCCCGAGGCCCTAAAACCGCTGCTGAATACGGCGTCTCCTCGTCACCGTCCGTACGAGTCCAGAGAGGAGCAGCAAGAACCAGCTGCCCAGGAGGAGACGAAGACCGACAAGACCACCTCCTGTCCAACCCAGCAACCTTCTGCTGCTGAACAGGAAGAGGCTAGCTCTGCGCTAGCGGGGGTCAGAGGAGGTCAAAGCAGTCTGAGGTCCTCTATCCCCCCTCCCTTGGATTTAAGTCAGATCAGCACCTCAGAAACGACCCGGGGCCCCGACAGGGACCCCCCCATGACAATGATCAAAGAGGGCTTGTATGAGTTTGTGTCCACTCCCCAAAGAACGGCAGCAGAGGGAACGAGTCTGGTGCTACGAAGAGCCGGAAGCTTTGAAACCCTGAAGGTCGACCTCATCGGCTCTGAGGGCGACGTCCTCACAGCCGCCATGACACCAGTAACGGCCCCCGCCGCCGTCCAGCAGCTTCCGCCTGAAGAGGTGTTCCCCGCCGCTCCAGAGGACGCCACATCTGCGCTGACCTTACCGCAGTCCCCGTCCCGTGAGTCTGCAGGTGAGCGTCCCATAATCAGGAGCTTAGAAGGTGAAGGACAACAGGCCGGCTTAATCCACCAGGGGAAGAATCACATGGAGAGGGCTGCTGCTGGCTCATGCATTAGCTCCAGCTCAGCTAAAGCCAGCCCACTCAACTGCACCCAGGAGCTGGTGGCTCTGGGAGGAGGCGAGGGGGCGGCGGCCCGCGAGCGACAGGCTGGAGAAAAACAGGAAAACCACATCGAACTGGATGGGAGTTTGACTCCGCCCTGTGAAACCAGTATGTGAGCTCAGCCTAACCACAGAGAGACGCTGAGGAAATCCAAAGCTGATGGCGGAGACCTGGCTTAGATCTCCGTTAGCTGATACCGACGCTGGAAGCACAAACATAGAAGTCATTATGTTAAAAAAAAAAGACGATATTTGGTTGATTTATTTTGGGAATGCTGCTTTCAGGAACCGAACATACCTGAGGCCTCGGCGTGGGAATCCAGAGGCTCGGCTCCACATGTCAGGGAACCATTTCTCTGCTTCATCTGTGGAGAATTAAGAGAAGCGACAAACTGCTGGAGGAAGCAAACAAAAAAAGCCTTGAAAAATGAAAATGTTTGACTGTCATGATTTTATGTTGGAGTGAATTTGTCTTCATGCTGGTTTACTTCCGTACGGTTTTACTTAGGTTAGCATGCAGAGCTAACAGCTGCAGTTTTCTGTTCATTCACCTTTAAAATAAACCTTCAACAAACGTAGAAACATGTCCGACTGTGATTTAGTCGCCTGTGGCTCTGATTCCGTGGTCTGCAGCCACTGGACGTCTGCATCCGGACGTCTGCATCCGGATGTCTGCATCCGGACGTCTGCATCCGGACGTCTGCATCCGGACGTCTGCATCCGGACGTCTGCATCCG